GTGAACCTTTGGGTACACGTGTCAAGCTTTGGGTACACGTGTGAACCTTTGGGTACACCTGTGAACATTTGGGTACACGTGTGAACCTTTGGGTACACGTGTGAACCTTTGGGTACACCTGTGAACCTTTGGGTACACGTGTAAACCTTTGGGTACACCTGTGAACATTTGGGTACACGTGTGAACCTTTGGGTACACGTGTAAACCTTTGGGTACACCTGTGAACATTTGGGTACACCTGTGAACATTTGGGTACACCTGTGAACCTTTGGGTACACCTGTGAACCTTTGGGTACACCTGTGAACCTTTGGCTACACGTATTAAACAGGATCAGAAGTAATCCTATACAGAATTAATGTAGGAATGTGGCCAAACCTGTACCACCTTCCGCTATGTGACCTGCGACTGTAACGCACCAACGCTGTATCTACCAGAACAGTTTTCAGGTCATGCAAGGGGACCGAATTCTAGGGACATGTAAAGTACTTTTTAGCTCATCATGGTTCAGACGGTGGTGCGTGAGTCTAGGGGGCACGGGGGACGGGAGCTTGATCCCATCCCATCAATATTTTCTCAGTATCTTTTCCTCCTCTTGAGGATCAAGTTATAATTAGTCCTATCATACCTGATCAACCAGGCTGTGACTCGTACGTCAGGCTGCGAGCAGCCGCGTCCAACAGCCTGGTTGATCAGTCCGGCAACCAGGAGGCCTGGTCGACGACCGGGCCGCGGGGACGCTAAGCCCCGGAAGCACCTCAAGGTAACCTCAAGGTATCATCGTTACTATGGATTATACGATAATAAATAGTCAGGTTTTGATGATTACGGGTTAAAGTCTTCTTATATATTTTTCTAGTAAATGTAAATATAATATTTTAAAATTTTTGTTTGTAAATTGAATTAATTTATAAATATACACCGATTTATTGATTTTTTTTAATAAAGGAGACTCTCCTGCTTCCCTAGGATCAACGTTATCACCTACCACCTTACTACGACCTACACATTCTTACGGACACCTTCTAAGACGATCTACTGTCAACCGCTACACGCTAACCCATCTACGTCCAAGGAACTCACTAACTTGTAACACGCTACGAGATGTCCCTGTCTGTCGACGCTTATATCCACGTAAATTCAATGTATTATTGACGATAATGTGAAACATGAAATTCGAAAACTGTTTCAGTGTGCCCGCGAATTCCGTTTACAGAAAATCATTTTTTTTTCAAAGAAAACGTTTTCAGCGTACACTTTTTATATCTTAAACCAACGTTTTCTTTTACGTTAAAGGTATAACTTGAGAATAATATCGGTTAAGGACAAAGGTTCACTTGCAAGTTTACATGTAAACAATGACTGGAACCGTAATAGGCTCTCAGACCATCACAAATATCTAGTTAACTCTCCAGGTGGGTTGAGGGGGGGGGGGACTCTGTGGTTTCTCAAGGTAATGGATTTGCTCTGAAGACGGGCTGATCCACGTCCATGGCAGCAAATATAATACAAACACGAAAAGAATATATTAGAGAGCGTTGCGTGTGGACAGAGAGCGTTGCGTGTGGACAGAGAGCGTTGCGTGTGGAGAGAGTGCATTGCGTGTGGAGAGAGAGCGTTGCGTGTGGACAGAGAGCGTTGCGTGTGGAGAGAGAGCGTTGCGTGTGGACAGAGAGCGTTGCGTGTGGACAGAGAGCGTTGCGTGTGGACAGCGAGCGCTGCGTGTGGACAGTGAGCGTTGTGTGTGGACAGAGAGCATTGCGTGTGGAGAGAGAGCGTTGCGTGTGGAGAGAGTGCATTGCGTGTGGAGAGAGAGCGTTGCGTGTGGACAGCTAGCGTTGCGTGTGGACAGAGAGTACTGCGTGTGGAGAGAGAGCATTGCGTGTGGACAGAGAGCGTTGCGTGTGGACAGAGAGCAATGCGTGTGGAGAGAGAGCATTGCGTGTGGACAGAGAGCGTTGCGTGTGGACAGAGAGCGTTGCGTGTGGACAGAGAGCGTTGCGTGTGGACAGAGAGCGTTGCGTGTGGACAGAGAGCGTTGCGTGTGGACAGAGAGCGTTGCGTGTGGACAGAGAGCGTTGCGTGTGGACAGAGAGCGTTGCGTGTGGACAGAGAGCGTTGCGTGTGGACAGAGAGCGCTGCGTGTGGACAGAGAGCGTTGCGTGTCGACAGAGAGCGTTGCGTGTGGACAGAGAGCGTTGCGTGTGGACAGAGCGCTGCGTGTGGACAGAGAGCGTTGCGTGTGGACAGAGAGCGTTGCGTGTGGACAGAGAGCGCTGCGTGTGGACAGAGAGCGTTGCGTGTCGACAGAGAGCGTTGCGTGTGGACAACGAGCATTGCGTGTTGACAGAGAGCGTTGCGTGTGGACAGAGAACATTGCGTGTGGACAGAGAGCGTTGCGTGTGGACAGAGAACATTGCGTGTGGACAGAGAGCGTTGCGTGTGGACAGAGAACATTGCGTGTGGACAGAGAGCATTGCGTGTGGACAGAGAGCGTTGCGTGTGGACAGAGCGCTGCGTGTGGACAGAGAGCGTTGCGTGTGGACAGAGAGTGTTGCGTGTGGACAGAGAGCGTTGCGTGTGGACAGAGAGCATTGCGTGTAGACAGAGTGTTGCGAGGGGTGAAAGCATTCTTTACAAGACAATGCAACTCATTCCTGTCAAGGCCGCCGTTCAGCTGTTGTAAGACGATCTATCTTTATGACCCACCGCGTGTATTGGGACACTCGGGGCATTATTGGTACGTACCATCGGCCCGGGAGTGAGGGGTAAGGGGGGCAGGACGGGGACATGAACAAGCAGAGACCACTGACGTGTCAACAAGGTCAAAGGTCATGTTTACACTCCCTTGTATGTGATCAATTGCATCTAGCATTGCTACAAACACGTTAAAACAAACACACACACACACACACACACACACACCAAGATAACCAGTTGATATAAACAAGATGAGCGTGGCCACAGCCGCCCACTACTGCACCACCACAATACTGGTGGCCTAACCAACACACTGGTGGCCTAACCAACACACTGGTGGCCTAACCAACACACTGGTGGCCTAACCAACATACTGGTGGCCTAACCAACACACTGGTGGCCTAACCAACACACTGGTGGCCTAACCAACACACTGGTGGCCTAACCAACACACTGGTGGCCTAACCAACACACTGGTGGCCAAACCAACACACTGCTATCCCAGCCAAACACAATTATTCCAAGCTTAGGCAAATACAGCAAATGTTTGCATTCCACTTCCCAATGGGTCATGCCAGATCCGTGTGGACTCACCCATTTGTACTCACAGTATGTGGCCCGCAGGATTAAGCTTCAGCTCTCGGACCCAACCTTTCCAGTCACCGGCTGGATAACGCAACAGTTCTTGACCAAGAGTTCTATCATATCTATTTTTGAAATCATGAATGGAGTTGACTTCTACTGCCTGTTCCTTGAATTCATTTCAATTTCCCCCAGTACTCTTACGCTGAAGAAAACTGGCTATTATATTTTGACGATTGTACCACCATCTTGTATTCGACTTTGAGGAACTGAAAGTCCTTAAAACTCCTGGGGCCAGATTCACGAAGCAGTTACGCAAGCACTTACGAACGTGTCCATCTTTCCTCAATCTTTGACGGCTTTGATTACATTTATTAAACAGTTTACAAGCATGAAAACTTGCCAATCAACTGTTGTTATTGTTATAAACAGCCTCCTGGTGCTTCGGAGCTCATTAACTGTTTAATAATTGTAAACAAGCCGCCAAAGATTGAGAAAAGATGTACAGGTTCATGTAACCTGTACACGAACTTGCGTAACTGCTTCGTGAATCTGGCCCCTGTTCATCAACATTGCTAGTGGCCTTTTACAAGCATGTAAGAACTCTTGTATTATAATTTACACAACGTTTCGAACCCACATGGTTCATTCTCAAGTGACGGGTGACAAGACATAAAGGGAACATCTCTTTATAAAACTGACGAGTCAATTGTGTACAAGTCAAGTGAATGGCTAAAGAAATGAGAGAGAGAGAGAGAGAGAGAGAGAGAGAGAGAGAGAGAGAGAGAGAGAGAGAGAGAGAGAGAGAGAGAGAGAGAGAGACAGAGAGAGAGACAGAGAGAGAGACAGAGAGAGAGACAGAGAGAGAGACAGAGAGAGAGAGAGAGAGAGAGAGAGAGAGAGAGAGAGAGAGAGAGAGAGAGAGAGAGAGAGAGAGAGAGAGAGAGAGAGAGAGAGACAGAGAGAGAGAGAGAGAGAGAGAGAGAGAGAGAGAGAGAGAGAGAGAGAGAGAGAGAGAGAGAGAGAGAGAGAGAGAGAGAGAGAGAGAGAGAGAGAGACAGAGAGAGAGAGAGAGAGACAGAGAGACAGAGAGAGACAGAGAGAGACAGAGAGAGAGAGAGAGAGACAGAGAGAGACAGAGAGAGACAGAGAGAGAGAGAGAGAGAGAGAGAGAGAGAGAGAGAGAGAGAGAGAGAGAGAGAGAGAGAGAGAGAGAGAGAGAGAGAGAGAGAGAGAGACAGAGAGAGAGAGAGACAGAGAGAGAGAGAGACAGAGAGAGAGACAGAGAGAGAGACAGAGAGAGAGAGAGACAGAGAGAGAGAGAGAGAGAGAGAGAGAGAGAGAGAGAGAGAGAGAGAGAGAGAGAGAGAGAGAGAGAGAGAGAGAGAGAGAGAGATGAAGGTGATGGGCCAATAAACTAAGCATATAAAGTTAAGCCAGGTGACAGGGGGTTATGAGAAGACGGGTGACCGTTTTGGCCACTAACGTCATCATTGTAAGTCGACCAATCGACTTGAGAATGGTCCAGGACGGACCGAAACGTCGCCGTCCCTTCACTTTCTAGTGTGTGGTCTGGTCAACATCATTGCAACGCTAAGCAACCACCGATGACGTCACTGGCCAAAACGCCATGCCCACCCAGAGGCATGAGAGAGACAGGAAGGGGGTGGGGGGGTGGGGGGGGCTCTATTAGACGGGTATAAGACAGGTGTTGACTTACATCTATGGCCGGAGGCGGTGTAGTGGACAGGAACGGGCGCAGCGAGAGTGTGTAGAGTCACCTGGTCGGTCAACACCTGTAAGAGGACAACAGTTAGTCAATTACTGCCTTTTCGTGATTACCTCCCTTCCCCTCACTCCCCCTCTCCCTTCCCCTCACTCCCCTTCTCCCTTCCCCTCACTCCCCCTCTCCCTTCCCTCACTCCTTTTCTACTTTCCCCTCACTCCCCTTCTCCCTCCCCTCACTCCCCCTCTCCCTAAACACCAAACCATCCATTACCATACTAGATACAGATCTACCTCTCAGTTCAGGGGCCATCAACCTATAGAACGTTGTTTAAGTCAATACAATACCTCACTGACCAGCAAGGAAGTATACCTTAGTCTACACGGATGCCAGGGAGGGTGGCCGAGTTTGCATGTATCGGTTTACGAGCCTGGAAACGCTTGGTAAACTGTAGCTCAGGATTTCTTTAAATGTAAACAAACCCGACATGATTTTAGGAAAGATGTACCGGTGTGTTTGGCTGGCCCGTCCTCCTGGACATGTGTAGTGGTAATGGTGTCCCGCAGTGCCCGGGTCTCCCACCAGGTGTTGATGCGGAGCTGTGAGAGCAATATTCCACCAGCCTGACCCGTTGTGAGAGCAATCAGTGGCTCAGCCTATATCACATAGCAGCATGTGGCTAGGTACACATAGCCACATGTATGTTGACGACTCCTTGCCCAATTTAAGCTGTAGAGTGAAGGGAGGCAGAGAGCCCAGAGGTGACTTATTTCCTGCAGAGGGGCAGGTCAGACGAGAGGGGCTCTTGTGGCTAGACATATTTGACCATTGTCACATGTTATGAGGTTATGAGAGAAAACCTGGGTTTCTGAAGTTCGGTTTTCAAGAGAGAGAGAGAGAGAGAGAGAGAGAGAGAGAGAGAGAGAGAGAGAGAGAGAGAGAGAGAGAGAGAGAGAGAGAGAGAGATAGAGATAGAGAGAGAGAGAGAGAGAGAGAGAGAGAGAGAGAGAGAGAGAGAGAGAGAGTGAGAGAGAGAGAGAGAGAGAGAGAGAGAGAGAGAGAGAGAGAGAGAGAGAGAGAGAGAGAGAGAGAGAGAGAGAGAGAGAGAGAGAGAGAGAGAGAGAGAGAGAGAGAGAGAGAGAGAGAGAGAGAGAGAGAGAGAGAGAGTAGCCAAGTGAGAAGAGATTATATTAACCAAGAAAGAATGCGAGGAAGAATTTAGTTTCAAACAATAAGAAACATCGAGATGGTATGAGAATCGTCAAACTCATCATCTCAAAACTCACGGATGATGCTTATCTTACGATTACGATAGTAGGAGGTAAACCAGGATTGCATACCGAGCTGGGGTATCCCAGACGGGTCTCCCGTGAACCAGGGGGCGTGAACCAGCCGCTGGGAGCCATCATGCACCTCTCTTAACGACTGGCTGCAATCACCATCTTGAGATGCAGCGAGCGGCCTCAACCCCCCCCCCCCCCCCGAGCAAATCTTGGAGACGACTTGAATATAACTTCACTTTTCATAACGATCATCCCACGTTGGTCTAACGTTAATCCTTGGTTGGTCTAACGTGGAACCCGACGCAGGTTATAGTCAAGCTTACTGACCTAAGTTGCAATTGCAACTTTCCAGTTGCAATTCACAACTCAGCATGACAAAGCGGTCAACAGTTAAGCTTGCCGATGCATGAAACAATCAAGTTTAGTAAGGCAGAGGACACTGGAACTTCCCGAACCACCAATTAACTAATCGAAATAGTCTGGGGCCAGTAAAACATTATCCCAGTTACACACACACACACACACACACACACACACATTCACACACACACACACACACACACACACACACACACACACACACCCACACACACACACACACACACACACACTCACACACACACACACACACACACACACACACACACACACACACACACACACACACACACACACACACACACACACACACACACACACACACACACACACACACACACACAATTAAGGAAGTGGAAGTGGAAGGAAGTGGTGGAGGAAGTGAAGTGGTGGAGGTGAAGTGGTGGAGGAAGTGATGTGGTGGAGGCTGACTCCATACACAGTTTCAAATGTAGGTATGATAGAGCCCAGTAGGCTCAGGAATCTGTACACCAGTTGATTGACAGTTGAGAGGCGGGACCAAAGAGCCAAAGCTCAACCCCCGCAAGCACAATTAGGTGAGTACACACACACACACACACACACACACACACACACACACACACACACACTGAGGGTAATGAGGGAGACAGTAGCCAACCTGCAAGATGATTTAAGGGCAGCAAAGGAGGAGATAAGATACCTAAAGGAGACCCTTCCACAATACCAGGCACAAACCGTACCCCAGGGAGATGGGAATGCTACTCTGGAGGGGACCACCACAACCCAGATCTCATTTGCTGAAATGCTTAAAAAGAGCCCTGAAGCTAGGTCTGCGGTTAAGGAAGTTGCCATGGAAGTGGCTTCCTCTCAGGAAGCGGCTAGATGTACCAGCCGGCTGATAGAGAGAAATAGAGCAGTAGTAGTAGCAGGCATTAAAGAACAAACAGGGACCAGACCAAAGGAGCGGAGAGACAAGGACAAAAACATGATTAAAGAGATCCTTAAAGAGGTAAGGATGGAGGGAGCTGAGCGAAATGTTGAAAAGGTTTTCAGGCTTGGAAAGTACAACAAGGACAGAGACCGAATGATAAAGGTGGTTTTCATGAGCGAAATCGCGAAAGAGGAACTGCTAGCAAGGAAGTGTTGTCTAAAAGGTGTAGAGAAGTTCAAGAAAATATTCCTGCAGAGGGATATGACAAGGAAGAGAGAATACGGACAGCAGACGCGAGGAAGGAGCGCAGGGAGAGAGAAGGAAATCAGAGTACCACAACCCAGAACCCTACAATCCCAGAGGGAAGTGGAGAACCCTCCTCAAACAGTGCAACAGCCACAGGATTGGGGCACCACCCCCACATTCTACCCAACAGACACCCACCCCCCCCCATCCCCTGTCAGCCCCCTACTAAGTACCCACCTAGGGCACCCTCCCCCCACCCACCCCCCCTCCCCCCACTCACCCCCCTTCTCCCCCTCACCCCCTCTCCCCAGGATCTCCCTTCTCCCCCATCCCCCATGCCCTCCCTTCTCCCACATGCCTTCCCGTCTCTCCCACCCCCATGCCCTCCCTTCCCCCCCCTCCCCCCTAAGCCCCCCACTCTCCCCCACCCCACCTAAGTCTTCCCCTCTCCCCCACTCCCCTAAACCCTCCCCTCTTCCTCACCCACCTCAGCCCCCCCTTTTCCCCCCCACGCCCCCCAAGCCCTCCACCCTTTTCTCTCCCCCCAAGCCCCCCCATCTCCCCTATCCCCCACAGCCTCTCCTCCCCCCATGCTTCCCCAACCCTCCCTCTCTTACCCACCTCCTGTACCCTCCCCCTCTTATCCACCCCCTGTACCCTCCCCCTCTTATCCACCCCCTGTACCCTCCCCCTCTTATCCATCCCCTGTACCCTCCCCCTCTCCCCACCACCCCCCAAGCCCTCCCTCCTCCACCAATCCCCCGTGCCAGGTCCCCCCAGCTCCCACTCACCCCAGATCGCAAAGGTCCCCCCCAGAAAAGCAGAAGAGAGTCAGTTTCAGGGTGATGTACTCGAACATAGATGGGATCACAAGCAAGACAAGTGAACTAAGGGAAAGAGCACAGGAAGTTAACCCAGATGTAATCGGACTCACTGAAACAAAACTCTCTGGAATCATAACGAATGCCGTGTTTCCCCAGGAGTATACAGTAATAAGGAAAGAGAGGGAAGGTAGGGAGGAGGCGGAGTGGCCCTACTCATGAGAAGGGAATGGAGTTTTAAGGAGATGGCCATCCCGGGCTGTGAGGAGTTCAGAGACTACATAGCAGGCACCATAACAATGGGAGGACCAAGAATAGTAGTAGCAGTAATATACAACCCTCCACCAAATGACAGGAGACCCAGTCAAGAGTATGAAAACAACAACAAGGCAGTTAACACTATAATTGAGAGGGCAGCCTCTGCTGCCTGTAGAAATAGATCCCACCTGCTCATCATGGGCGACTTCAATCACGGAAAGATTGACTGGGAGAACAAGGAACCGCATGGAGGCGAGGATACGTGGAGAGCCAAACTATTGGAGGTGGTGACAAGCAACTTTTTAACCCAGCATGTCGGAGAACCCACAAGGATGCGAGGCAATGACGAACCAGCGAGACTCGACCTAGTCTTCACTCTGAACGACTCCGACATAAGAGAAATCGGTTTTGAGGACCCAGTAGGAATGAGCGACCACAGTGTACTGGTGTTTGAGTACTTGATTGAAGAAGGGTTATTGAACTCGAGGAGGGATACCGAAACCAAAAGGTTAGCATACCGAAAGGGAAACTATGAGGGGATAAGAAAATTCCTAACAGATATAGCATGGGAAACAGAGCTCAGGGGAAAGACGGCCCAAGATATGATGGATTACATCACGCAGAAGTGCAAGGACGCAGCAAACAAGTTTGTCCCAGTCCAAAAGGAAAACAGAGAAATGAAGATGAGAAACCCATGGTTTAATCAAAGATGTAGGCTAGCTAAGCAGCAAAGTAAAGGGGCATGGAGAAACTATAGGAATAACAGGACACTGGAGAGCAGAGAAAGATACCAGAATGCCAGGAATGAATATGTCAGGATGAGAAGAGAGGCAGAAAGACAATACGAAAATGACATCGCAAGCAAGGCAAAGACTCAGCCTAAATTGTTGCATAGCCACATTAGGAGAAAAACAACAGTAAAGGAACAGGTTATGAGATTAAGGATAGGGGCGGAAGGATTCACTACAAATGACAAGGAAGTGTGTGAGGAATTGAATAAGAAATTCCAGGAGGTCTTCACCTTAGAGCAAGGAGAAATTCCAGAGGTAAGTGAGGGAATAGCTAACCAGGAACCACTGGAAGAGTTTGAGATTACCAGTGGGGAAGTAAGGAAGTGTTTACTAGAGTTGGACGTGACGAAGGCTATAGGCCCAGATGGAATCTCCCCTTG